CCAGCACGCACCTCTCCCCTGCCGGCACTGCCTTCAGGGACCCTGTCACCCCCATTCCCGTGCTGCAGCATGCTGTCCCATGGGCACCACCCCAAAACCAACCCAGCATCGCGAGGGCAGTGTGCCCATCGCCAGCAGTCCTGCTTTATGCAGTTTTGTTCCGTGGCTGCTCTTCCCAGCTTACCCGTGAATGTGGCTCCCTCCTGTCCCGGGCGGCAAGCATATGCACTGCTCAGGGCAAAGATGAAGCCTATGTTGCCTCGTCTGCTTTCAAGGGTGCTCATGACAGGTCCCAGAGCGCATGACCAGCGGGGCTTCAGCCAGTGCCTGTCAACTTGCTAAAGGGACTTTCCGGGGGAAGAAACGGTTCTGTCCGAGGGCGTGGCTGGAGTTCAGCGCGTTACAGGAAGGTGTGGCCCTCCTGTCTTCCCAGGCCAGCCGCAGGCATGCTCGAGAGGTGTCAAACCCTCGAAGAAACAAACGACACATGTGGTTTTCTGTAGTGCAGCTCTTCACCAAAGCAGGATCCCAAACGCAGGCGCTGCGCCCTCCCTGCCCAAGGCAGCGACCTCCGGAGATGTCTCAGCATCCCTGTGCCGCTTTCTGTGGACTGTGCTTGAATCATTTCTGAGATCATGGATGTCCCAGTGGCACGGAGAATCCATTCCAGTCTCCTTTGGAGTCCGGCCCTTTCCTAGCCGAGCCCAGCCTGCCTTTCCAGCCTCACCACCATCCTGTGTGCACAGTGGGCCCCAGCCCCTCCCTGAGGCACTCTGCCCCTTGATCAAGGGCACAGCTCAGTGTCCTAGAGCTGATAATGGGCTTCCTAGAACTCCTCTTCTACCACCTTCCTTTGGGCGTTGCTTCCATTTGCTCTGTCCACCAGATCTCTATTCCTCCAGCTGAGGCCAAAGGTAACATCACAAAGGCCACCCCCCATTCTTGGTCTCAGCCGACAGCCAGCTGTTGACTCTAAGCCTGTTACTGGATTGCTATCCTGCCAGTGTGTATAAGGTGTGTCTCCTCCCACCTGTTCATCCACAGATCCCCAGGTGTGGACTTCAAGAAGAGAGTCAAAGTTGAAGGAAACTTCTAGTATCAAACAGCAGGAGACCTTGGAAGGGAGTTTGTTGAATGAATGAAGGACCTCAAAGAATAAAGCTAGAATGATTAGATGATTGGATACTTTTGGGGGCAGGGGACGCTGATGGCCCTCATATCTTACGTAACAACAGACTCCTTCTGGCTTGGAGGAAAGGATCAATGAGGCATGTGGCCCAAAGCAGGATTGTCTTATAGTAGAAGAGATGGCGTGTGTGTGTGTGTGTCTATGCGTGTGTGTCGGGGGGAGGACGGTGCGTGCATGCCTGTGAGCCCAGCATCTCAGGGTTCTCCCATCCTGTTGGAGATCTAGACAGAAAAGGCTTCTGCCCCCGGATGCTCTCCCCCACCAACCCCAACAGACCACACTTCGGAGAAGGGCTGTGGGCAGGGCCTTTCCACGCTGGATCCCGACGCCATGGCCGGCTTCTGTAGAAAACCACCAAAAGGGGCCCACCCCGAAGATGTGTTGTGGAGCTCGTCATGCTTCCAGCGTCAGTGTTTTTGACTCTGGAAGTGACCTGCACCTTGATTGGCTCTTGATGCATCCAGAACTTTGATTCACCCCTTTTCCCGTCACCTTGATTAATCCCCAAATTCATCTTTTCCCTTCTATGGCTTCATTCTCCACTTCTAAAGAAACCGCAAACATTGCACTTTGCTTTGGTGGTTGGCGTGGTGGTGCTTCTTCAGAAGATAAGCTCATTTATCTTCATTGAAGGCTGAGGAAAGAATCCAAATAGATGATTAGTGATCCTTTTGTTTTGTCCTGGGCTTCAATGAGGGGCTTTCTTGCCTGGGATCCTCTATACAGCTGGGAGCAGCCCGGAACTGAGGTGCTGACAGCTTGTGTCGGAATCACATGGTGTTTACTGTGCTGTGAGTTTATAACAGCCTTGTTTCCATACTGACAGCAAACGCCATATGGAGAGAAAAAATCCTGACACATGAACCCTTAAGCAATCACAATACGGTACATGAAATCTCATAATTGCTTTTGGAAAGGGAGGGGGGACCTCGCTCAAATCATATAAGCGATGCGGTGCTCTCTGCCGTAATTGAATAAAACTGGAATTTGACACAAGGTAATTTACTTTCCTTCTGCGTTTGTGCTGGGGAAGCTCGGCTGATTGGGAAAGGAAGGGGAAGTTCGTTTGTCTCACCTTGGGGCATCAGGTTGAGTGGGAGGCAGTGAGTCCGCAGGCTGTGTCTGCAGGGCGTCACACTAACAGGTGCGGGCTACAGACCTGTCATGCTCTGGGCTCCCTTCTTCCCAGACTCCCCGCTGTGACGATAACACTCATCTAACTTGACATTTTACTGCTGTCACTTGGGATCTTGTCTGCTCACCCACCCACACACTCCCTTTCCAACAGAATCTGAGATCCCTGGGGGCTGGGACGACATCCCACCCCCTCCCCCACCGATCCTGGCACACGTTGAGGTGGGTTAAATGTTTGTTGGAGTGGCTGTTTGGGAACCATCTGTGAATGGGAAGGTAGACTGAATTAAGGTTAGTTCTAGGCTAGTTTCAGCCTCCAAACCACTTGAGCAGGGGGCCACATTGATCAAAGTATCCGCTCAGAGAATGAGAAATGTTTGAGTGCCTTCTTAAACAATCGTATGCTTAGAACTAGTGAATTCCTACAAAAGTAGTTTCTGCCCTCAGGCAATTTACCCACGAAAGGAAAAATGGCTTTAAAACTCTCCAGCCAGTATGCCTAGAGACAAATCTTCAGAACGCTCTGGCTTAAGCAAAGGTGCTGTCGGGTGGTTAACAGTGCAGGCACCAGGCTGGCCCGGCAGGCTTGCTTCAGGGGCTCCTGTGATATCATGGCACGAGGTTTCTGTCTCTACTCTGCTCTCCTCCTCCCGTGCTGGTTTCATTTTCCGTGGGCTCTCACCGCCTGGTGGGAAAGACCGTGGCGGCAGCTCTTGGCCGACCAGTTTTAAGGCCTTGTCATCCCAGAGATGAGCAAATGTCTTTCCTGGAAGTGCTAGCAAAAACCCTGGAAGGATTCCAAGGCCCACTCAGGTCTCAATGAACCTATCCTTGTGGCCGTGAGGCAGAGGACTCTGAATTGCTGGGACTGAGTCATGTGCTCACTCCCGAGGCTCGGGAGGAGTCGGCTCCCTGACAACTTTGGGCTGGATTTTTATAGACTCCGGGAGAGGAGGTTCCCTAAAGGAAGGGAGATGGAACAGACCAAAAAGTCCACATCCGCGATGGTAACAGATTGTGTTTATTAAGCATTTCCTATGAGCCAGGCTCTGGTCTGAGTCCTTTCCATGCATTGTCTTCTTTAATCTTCGTGAAAGTCCTAGGAACTAGGTACGATTATTGTTCCCAGTTTACAGACGAGGAAACTGAGGGATAAAAGTGTTAAGCCAGTTCACACAGGCAGTGAGTAGTGAGGCTGGGATTTGAACCCAGCTTGTTTAGCTCCATAACCCATGCTCACAGCCCCCAATCTCCCTATAAGTAAGAGCTTGACCTCCCTGTGAATAAGCTCTTTGGGTATGAAAGTGAGTTGGCATCTTGGCTGTGTTCGTATTTCCTGTCGTATTCCTGTCTCCAGAAAAAGGCCCCCTAGAAGGACAATGGTTCTGGTTCTTCCTCTACATTTGGCTAGGATAGTCATTCTTTCCATCCAGGTCCCTCTCCTAACCAAAGTCTAACTCACCCCGCTTCCTGGTTTCCCCACAAAACCACCTGACTGTTTCTGGTGCAGTTGTGGAATCAAAGGGCTAATTTTCAGTGCTCGAGGTGGTTCGAGGCAATGTGTCTCAGTCAGTCCTTTAAGCATCTTTATGGCCGGAGAAAGCCCCTCGCAGAATCATTGCAGGAAGAGCCAAGAAGGGACCCACCTCACCCCACTCCATCTTACCTCCCAGCATGTGCCTTCCTTCATTTTTCAGAGAGAACTGAGGTGCAGAGAGGACAAGTGAATTGCTTAGAGTCACGTAGCAAGTCCTTGGCCCTCCCCTGGTCTCCGGGCCCCTGGGCTTGGCGTCTGGCATTGCACCTCCTCTTCAGAGCTCTCTTGGCTACTGAATGCCTACGGCCTAATCACTTTCTGTCTCTGTGCCTTTAGCTCCTCAGCTGGAAAATGCAGGGTTTTCATAGACTCGGCTGGAAAATGCAGGATTTTGCTCCAATTGGGCAAAGAATGGAAAAAAAAAATTTTTTTTTTACTGTATTCATTAGGATGCTTCGTATTACAAGTAATTTAAAAAATGTTTTTAACTGCACTAAACAAAGCTCATGAATAAGTTTTACAGATGTGGTTGGGCTGCAGGCATGGTTTGATCCGGAGAGTCATGACGTCACCAGAGCACCAAGTCTGCTTCTAGTTTTCCCAGCTCTGACCTCCTCTGTGTGTCAGCCTCATGCTCACAGCAGCTTCCTGTGCAGTGTCAAGAACACTGCATTAGACTCTGGCCTCATCCCCATGCGCCCAGCATCCAGAGGAAGAGAAAACACCTCTGCTCAGTATACCCGACAAAGTCTATGGTTCTCCCTGATTTAACTGGCTTGAGTTACTTGCCTTCCACCCTTATCCAGTCAGTGTAATCAGGGAATGCGATGTGCTGATTGGCCAGCCAGGGGCCAATGATAGTCCCTAGAACTGCTGGCATCTCCATACAGAAATCAGGGCATCAGAAAGGGGAAGTGGGCTGTGGTATAGAGGCTGGGTTGTAACTGGTGCCTTCTTCTACACTGACCTTGACCCCTCTGAGTCTGCAGAGTCCGGAGACAAATAAGGGGTCCTGAGAGTTTGCCAGACACCTTTCTCCATCCATCTGCAGCGTTAGATCCAGGTGTGGGCTGATGGGGGGGGGGTGCCCTGCCTGACCCTCGCCTGGGTCTTACCACATTATTCTTTTCTTGTCTCCAGACAGAGATTACTGCAGTTTATGTGACAAGCAGCCAATTGGAAGGCTACTTTTCCGGCAGTTCTGTGAAACAAGACCTGGGCTGGAGTGTTACATCCAGTTCTTGGACTCAGTGGTAAGTCCCTGAGGGGGGCTGTCTTTGGTCCTCTGTGTCAGTGATCGTTTTTGTCTGCACGGTTTAGAATGGTGAAGAATAAAATTGTTGCTCAAGAAACCTCCACTGCAGACTTCGAGAATGTAGACTGTCTCCAGGTTTGCAACTGCTGGGTGACCGTGGGTAGGCCACCTCCTGCTCTGGGCCTCGCTTGATGCTGCTTTGACATGAGGCCCTGTCAGCTGTCTGATTTCGGGAGCCTGAGTTATACAAGGTCGGGCCTGGGGAAGTTATATAGTTCCCCCAACACCCCAAAGTCGCTCTTGGATTCTGTGGCCTCTTCCCCCAGCTGAGAACCCATTTTCTAGAAAGCAAGCTCCCTGAGGCCAGGACCCTGGGCTTCTGGTTCACCCCTGCCTAGCACAGTACCTGGCACATACAAACACTCAGTATACGTTTGTGGAATGAACATGTGTTAGCAGTTTCAAGCCAATCTGATAGCTGCTGGCTTCACACACTTGGCCGTGATTGACACCATGGGGACTTCCTGCGAACGTACTGGTCGTTCACTTGTTTAACAAATGCTGACTGATCTGCGTGGGTTTTAAGGACCAGATGTGAGAATACGCAGGAGTTCATCGGCACCCACTCAGGAAGGCAGGGCACCTCGACCTGGCTGACTACCCTTTGGGTTTCTATTCAAGGCAAAGGGTGGAAACCAGCCATGAAAGGAGTGGGGTCATCCAGACCCCGTTTCTCAGGACAGGGGGCCAAGGTGCTATTGTTCCCTAGAGGCCGTCAAACCATTAGTGTCTGCAGCCATCCCGGCCTCTGCCTTGGTTCAGGAGACGGCCCTGTGGGGCCCAAGTTTCTGTGTCTTCTTATGGGTTTTAATGTGGCTCTCTAGACTCACGAGCTAAACTGTCCACTGAATGTGTCCAGCAGAAGTCGCATGGGCACCTCTCAAAGTCAACATGTCTTAAAAAACTCAGAACTTTCCCCCCAGGCCCCCCAAACTGCCAGCCCTGACATGTTCTCCGTTCCTGTGACCAGCATCCTACAGTCACCCCAGCCTGAAAACTTGCATTGTTCTTGACCCCTCCCTGTCCCTCATCCCTTCCCCATCCAATCAAGGACCATGCGCTTGGCTCCTTGACCTCTCCCAGACCAGTCCCCTCCCCTCCTCAGCCTCTGCCTTGGTCTTGGCGCAGGCTCTTCGCACCTCTCTCATAAGTGATTACGATGTTCTCAACCTTGGCTGAGCAGTAGAAACACCTGGGAGCCTTAAAAAAATACCAGTACTCGAACTGAAGCCCAGACTCATTAATTTGTATCTCAGGGGTGGGACCTGGTATTTTCATAACTTTTTATTATGGAAAATTTCAAACTGTAAAAAGTAAAAGTCTACAGAATAGTATGATGAACCCCCATGCACCCTTCACCCCACTTCAACAATTATGAACTCACGGCCGGTCTTGCTTCACCCATCTCCTCCCCTCTAGCATTTCACCGTGGATCTTACGTGTCTCATCGGTGAACATTTTAGTATGTATCTAAAGGATGAGAGCTCTTTAACAAAAATAAAAATAACCACAGTACCATTACCGCAACTAAAAAAATAATTCTTGCTATGATCAAATATCAGTCACTGTTCCCATTTCTGATTTTCTCATACTTTTTATAAATGCGTGTTTTAACAGTTTCTAACTATCTTCCCTTGTTCATCCAGAAGAGCCTCCCATAATCTGAATTTTGCACGCTCATCCCTGAGTGTCACTTAATAGTTTCCTCTGTATTCCTTGTGAATTGCTCATTGAATCTAGAGACTTAGATTCATTTCAGTTTGGGGGCAGATGAACAAACTTCATAAGTGGTTTTATGTGCTTCTGTCAGGAGACATATAATATCTGGTTGTCATTCCTTTCAAGATGGCAGCAGCCGTTGATATTCAATATCTAAATCTGTCAATAAATTAGGGGTTGCAACATGGCAACATTCTAAGTCTATCATTCCTCTTCATTTGCTAACTAGGAAACATCTTTTGATTATTATTTGGTTACCCAGCGGTAAAGTTCAACTAGGAAGTGCTTGATTTTTCCCCTGTACTTGTGTTTTCAAAGCATCCTCCAGTAGCAGTAACCAGCTAGAGTTTTTAAATGTGTGGATTTAAACACGTGCGCTTGGATGCACCACAGTCATTATCTTTACTGGTGTTCCGTGGTCGCACCATTAGCCTGTGGGAGCTCTTTAGATTGGCTTCTGATCTCTTGAGAGGAACCCAGCCGTCACTGGCAGACTCTTGGCTCTGTGGCATAAAGTGACGTTCCAGGCCCATCTTGTATGTTTCCTGCCCTACACCTAGAGTCTGTCATTTCTCCAAAGAGCCCCGGCCCCTCTTACTGGGAAATGGTACCTGGAGACCAGCTTGGCACGAGGGATGCTCATTACCACTGGACTGGCCATATTTGTAGCAGACATTGGCATTTTTCAAATTTCCTAGGACTGTACTATGAGTCCAGGGTTAGAGTGCAAGTTCTGAGGCTGACTTAACCAGGCCTTCCACTCACAGCCCCCTGCCCACCCTTTCATGCTTGACCTTCCCCTGGGTCTTTCTTGGGCCCTTCGTTCTGGCCCCACCACCTGCTTGTGGTGGCTCTTGCTTGCCAGGCTGATCAGAGCCTCTCAGTCCTCGCTGGAATGGAGGGAGCAGGACAGAGGTGTTAGTGGTGCCAGACCTTGTGCCATTGGAGAACTTTGACTTTGAATGAAGTGGGGAACCACTGGAGGGATTTGATCAGAGCAGTGACATGGTTTGACTTAGGTTTTTAAAGGACTTTCTGACCCCCGTGTTGGGAATAGGGTAGGAGTGGGGGGAAGGGTAGGAGTGGGGAGCTCTGATAGGAGGCTGCTGCAGCAGGTGAGAGCTGGTGGTGGCTCAGGCCACATGGAAACAGTTAGCAGCGGTGAGAGTGGGTAGATTTGGGCATGTTTTGAAGGCAGAATGAACAGTATTTCCTGATGCATTGGAGATGGGAGCGGAGAGTTACAGATGCCTTCGAAGAGTTGACCTGAGCAACTGGGAGGAAAGAGTCAGGGCGGCTCATTTGGGGGAAGGTCAGGAGCTCCATTTTAGGCACACTCGGCTTGAGATGTCCATCAGACACCCAAGTGGAGATGTCTGAGGCGGGGAGGGTGTTCAAGTCTGAACTTTGTGAGAAAGGTCTGGGCTGGTATTAGAAAATGGGGAGTTGTCAGCATAGGGCTGGCATTTAGAGCCGTGGGCTGGAGTTGCTCACCAAGGAGATGCATGTGGATGGAGAAGAGACGAAACCCAAAGACAGATCTGGACCAAGGCTGCTCCCCGTTTGGAAGAGATGAGGCATCGGCGGTTTGGGGGCCCGTCTAGAGTTGATGAGGCAGAGCGGGGCAATGGTAAACCCGGGAGCCAGTGGAATTTTCCAGCCTTGTGTCTTATTCGATGCTTATAGTCAGTTTGAGAAGAAGAAAAAAACCCCAATGGATGTCCATTTCATTCTGGCCATGGAGACGTTCCCTTTTGCTGGGCCTGTACCAGGAGCTTTTTTTTTTTTTTTTTTTTTTTGGAAAGGAAATGTGAGTCTGGCTCCCTGCGCTGACGTGACAAATGCTCTTTACATATGCCCTAACGAAGCTGCCACTCACAAGAGGCCGACCCCACCCCCTTGCGTTTTGCCTGCATCTCTGGGAAGTAGCGAGGCCTTTCATCACCCATCCTGACGTCAAATGACCGGCCTTCGGAACGCCTCTTTTACGCATGAAGACTTTATTGAGTTTTCCAGGGCTGGCGCAATTCTTGTCTGAAATACGTTTTTTTTTTCCTTCCATCCTGACTGGGACGCCAAGAAGGGAGGAGGTGGCGCTGTCCTGGCCATTGCACACCACCCCGGTGCGCCCGGGCTTGGCCCGCGCCATCCACTCTGTTCCCACCTCTGTGTGGAATTTCTACCAAGTGGAGTTTATTAAAAATAACCCGTCCTCATCAGGCTCCGATGCAGCCCGCAGGGAAGGCTGCTCCCCGGCACAGTCCTCACGTCTGAGTTTCTCAAGTCGAGCAGAAGACTGTGGCTGTTTAAAAACGGGGTGGGTGATTTGGGGAGCGGTGGGACTGTTTGCGTATCACTCACCAGGCTGCAGGGGTAATTCAGCCCTTGGTTGTCGAGGGGCTTCTAGGAGCCTGAGAAGGACGCCCCCGTTGCCTTCCTGAGAAATGGAGTCAGTGACCTAAGTCAAGACTACGACCAGGCTTAGCTTCCAGAGGGCAAGGAAGGTTTTCTCAGCTGGTCAGGGAGTCAGAAGGGCCTCCAGGCAGTGTTGGCCTCCACCGGCCAAAAGGGTCTTGCCATGGATTTCTTAAAGGTTGACATGCTTCTTCTCGAACCTGTTTTCCGGGAGCCTTGATGGCCTTGCGGCGCGTTGAAACCCTCCTGTCCCCACACTAGGGTGTGGCTTGGTTTTCAGGTCTCTTCCCTTTGGAGGTAGGGAGCTTCGGTGGATCCTCAGGCAGACTTGCTCCACACGTAGTGATCGATGTCTCCAGCAGGTGGGGACGACACAGTGAGCAGGAGAAGTAGGTTCCTGCCCTCATGGAGCTCGCTTTCTGATTAAATGAGAGATTGAAAAATAAAGGAAAAGTTTTGATGAAGTAAGTGATACTTGCTATGAGTTCAGATGCCTGTTAAGTATTTGTTATTTGCTGCTGTTGTAAGAAATTATCTCAAAACTTAGCAACTTGAACCAACAATAAACATTTATTATCTTATAGTTTTTGAGGGTCAAGATTTGGAAATGGTTTACCGAGGTGCTAGTAGCGGCTTAAGGTCTCTCAAAGGTTCTGTCAAGATGTTGGCTGGGGCTGAATTCCCCTGAAGGCTTGGTCCGTTTCCAGACTTATGCACGTGGCTGGCAGGTTGGTGCTGGCTGTGGGTTGGAGGCTTCAGTTGTTTCCCACGTGAACCTCTCCATGGGAACTGCTTGAGCATCCT